CTAGAGCCCAAAGCGACCTCCTGATGGGTATTACATGTGAAACAGTTAGTTTCAAAAATTGATATTATACCAGAAACTCTCTTTTTTTCTTTAAATGGCCAGTATCTCTTCCAGGACAAGATGGGCTTTTAAAAATGCAATATTTAAATAAAACATGAAAAATATTTATGTCTATACCCTTCGTTATTGTTTTGTGATGGAGAAAATATGTGATTAGGTCTAAAAGACCCTTTTATTGCCCTGATTCTAGCTCTTAAAGAAAAGTATTGAGTAGAGCAGCAGTTTCTGCCAGTACATGTCAGAGATAATTTTGAGAAACTAGTTTAATTCCAATACCTTCTTGAATTTGGTGCACATTAAAGATGGCCCAAGATACCAGTTTCCAGGAAAACCTGAGTTGTTGCCACAGCCACATCCCATCAGTCAGGGCAGCTGACCTGGGATTAGCTGGCTGGAGTTGGTGCAGCCACGGACTCCCTCAGTTCTGCTCCTGAAGATGCTTCTCCCTTTTCTGCAAAACTGACTCTCAATAACCAACTTCTCAGGAAAACCAGACTTGTAGAGAGAATATTAATTTTGTGTCAATGCAAATGAACATCTGCTCAAAACTGCTCATGGCTTTGGCTATTCCATGGTTTATTTATTTTTATTTTTTGCTATATTAGCACAGATGTTTTTCTCCTTTCATGTTCTTAAAGGAAATGGTTTGTGCCGCAGATTAAAAAAGAGTTCATCTGTCTATCTGTTCATGCATGCATCCATCCATCCATCCTTCAAGTAGAAGCAGATTACTTTAAAATTTTTTTAGTATAGTCTGTTAACTTCAATATGTGGAAACCAAAGCCCAAAGCTATCAACGAATGTGCCTGAGTTCACAAAGGCATTTAGAAGCAGACTAAAGAACAGAGCCAATTTCCTAGACCCCAGTTTAGTCCTGTCTCATGCCGATTCTTTTAGAAAGAACACTAGCAGGCCTGGGGTTAGGCAGTTAGAATCAGGAGGAAGGACAGAGTTTAGCACTTGGAAAAGAACAGCTGGTGGTCAGGGCTGGGGACTGTTGACAGAGATTGGCCTACAGGCTGTTCAGAGAGCCACATTTCACCAGGCACAAGATGAATCAACCTCCGTGGGCAAGGCTGGTTCTCAATGGCCTTGTTCTACATGCCAGAGGCACAAGAGACAGTACGCATCTGTGGAAAGTTTTCTCTAGCACAGCCCAGCACTTTGAGACCTCTGCCAAAGCAAGTGGTGCAAGAGCAATACAGTCTTTTTTTCTGAAAGGGCTCGTAAGTTCCTGGCCCTGAGACATCCGCCTAATACCCTCCTGCTGCCGCTGCTGAGGGACTGCAGCCCATCAAACACTGTGGCACTGGGGAAAGAGGGGGACCTCCCTTTAAATTGAACAGTTTCAGCAAGAAATGAAAGCATGAGAAGACTTGCTGCACAAGCAAAACTGGGGCTTAGGTTTCCAGTCAACATTCTATGAACAAACACAACCTTTGCAAACACACTGGTGTTACCAATCAACCCTTAGCATGTACAGCAGCTACCAGGACAGTCAGCTTGAGGGTGACACCCTTTCTGTGTAGCCCATCTCCTTAGCAAAGGGAAAGACGAAATGCTACCAAAGAGGACAAAGAGGCCTATTTTGTCCTGTACAGCAAATGCTTACGTAGGGCTGTGTGTCAGCTCCTGTCTTGAGAGCTTTACATGTATTAACTCACCTAATCCTTAGAGCATCTGGATAGGGAGCTAATATAATTAATAGCTCCTCCTTACAGAGGAGGAACTGGGCACAGAGAGGTGTAGTAACTTGCCAAGGCAACAGAGCTAGTAGGGGGCAGAGATGGGCTATGAACCCAAAAGCTGGGCTCTGCAGATAGCACGGTGAGCAAACACAGATGCGGTCTCCAGCTTGGGTGGTGTGCTCCTTCAGTCAGGAGCTGCTATGGCAGCCTCCTGGTCCCCCTCACCCACTTTCCTGACTGCGGCAGAGGTGCCGGTTCCCTTGGAGGGCCAGGTCTGTGCCGATGTTCTGGACTCATTTCTGGAAGCCCAGTCTAGATCCCATTCCTCAGGGGCTTCCAGAGATTTTATATGTACTTAATTCTTTATATGAAATCATGGTCTCCTTGAAATGATGAGAGGGATATCTGCTGTCTGCATCCGAGCTGTGACTGACAAGTTTTCCTAAAGGGCTAAAGGATGAAATAAGAGGTGCTTCTAGTGCAAACAAAGGAATCAGGAGTGGCTCTGAGAGGCAGCTTGTGTGCATCAGAGCAGGCGGCTGGGGAGGGGGGGCCTAGTAGGAGCCCTGAGACCCAGGGGAAAGCCCAGATGGGCAGCACTGCTCAGAGCTGGAACAGGAAGCCAGGGCCAGACCAGGTCTAGTGCTCTCGCAGGTGTTCCAGGGACCCCAGGACATCTCAACTCGCTTCTGTGCAGGAATAGCATGGAGCTAGGCAGAAAGCACACATTTTCCCTGGAGCCACAGGACTGAGGACCAGATTGGGAGGAGAAATGGATAGAAAGTTGCTCAGCCAAGACCTGTCTTCAAAACTAGACACAACTGGATGCCGATTCTGGTCTGGACGTTTTCCTTTCTAATTACACACACTTTGTGTCCCATCAAATCCTCTGATATGTAATAAAGATATATGTATTGCATACAAGGTGCACCCAACAAATATTTATTAAGCATCTACTATGAGCAAGGTACCCCTTCAGTCACTGAGGATATGGCAGTGAACAAACCAGATTAGTTTGTCCTCATAGGGCTTACCTCTGTGATTTAAAGCTTCTTTAAATTTGAAAAATATTCAAAAACCAAAATAGGTAAAATTTACCATAATCCCATCAGAACCTTTTTCTGGATATATGTAAATACAGAGCAAGAAGTCAGAGGTCCTCTTTGTCCATCCAACCCTTCCCATCCCTCACCGAAGTAAGCATTCTAAACTTTTCCACAAAAATATAAAGACTGACTAAATATACACATCCATATGCTTATCATTTTTAAACCAAAATAGGAGAATGCTTTATTGATCTACAACATGTATTTCTTTCACATCATATATCATGTACCTCTGTTTTAGTTAGAATTCCCTGAGAGGCAGAGCCTGAGACATGGGTTCAAGTACAATCTCTGTTCAGAACATTCAGATCCATCCCATTCATTTTAATGGTCGCCCCACATTCCACTGTGTCTGTATCATTATTTATTTAATCTTCCGAGATACAGACACACACACACTGCCCCCCTCCTTCTTGTCCCCATGTCCTGCTCACCGACATTTAGGGTATATGCAGCAAGGGGAAAGCTCACTTTCCAAAGGCCATGGCTGCAGGACAGGGCTCTGAGGTCTGGAGATGAAGTCTATGAAACTTATCATTGTCCTCACCATGCCTCAGATTTATAGTGAATGCATATTTATGTGAAGTTGGCCAAATCAATCACCATGATGATCATAACAGTGAAAAGACCTCATTAATTTAGTGATTTGTTTTCTCTTTGCCAACTATAGCAGCCATTTACTTCGACATTCTTTGGTCTAAATATCATCATATATCACCAGTTCTATCATGTCTTGTAGAACTAGTCCATACCCTAGTGTTTAAGATTGCTATTTTTTAATGGCAAAAAGACATATAATTAATGATGAGTGACTTTATCTGTATTTGTGGAAGAGGTGTTTTAGATCACTGCATAAAGGATGGGAATCTGTGTTTCTAAGTTGAGGGCCAGTTTCTAAGGTCTTTTATATCTTGGTGGGTGATTTCAGATACCCACCAGCACCGCTGATGACTATTTCTATAGCCTCCGTGAAAACCACGGTACACAGCAGGGAAGGAGATTTTGTATTTGTGGCAAAGTCCTGGCACCTGGCCCTCCTCACCTGTGTGCCTGAGGCAAGTCACTTGGCCTTCCTAGATCCCGGGATAACAATAGTCTCTGGCTTACTTGTCCTGAGATGGAAAGGAAACACTGAGTGCAGGAGTGCTCTTTAAGTATCAGTTACTCTACAAATACATGGGAGGAAGAGCCTAGTTTTGCTAGCCTGTGGTGGTAACCTCGCTCTTGAGAACATGCCTGCCTTAAAAGGTCAGTATCCTGAAGTCAACCCCTCACTATGTCATAGACCTCACTAACAAGACATTTAGCTCTCCAAAGCCTTAGCAAATGGAGTAGATTTTGGTGAAGATTTCATGGGGAGAAGGAGGAGGGGGTTCCTTCACATACCTCACAGCAAAACTGAATGACCTGTTCCATCAGAAGTACCTGTTCTTCCCTGAAAGCTCGTTTTGGCCACCAGGAGCCTGAGTGCTGTCTCCTTCCTCACCCAACAGAGACTGCCCAGCCCTGATGCCTCCAGTCTTTCTTCACTCCTTAAGCTTCCCTTTGGGTCTATGGTTCCTCCCTGCTGAGTTTTTACAGAGCAATTACTCCATTATTCATGGGTTCTCTTACCATCTTCCTATTCACTAGTCAAATACCACCCCCCTCCGGCCCCCTCAGAGAGCAGTGGGGCAATTTTAAATAAATGCTTTTGCTATCACAAACTCTCTTTTTTCACTGTCATAATACTATTAGGTAATTTTATTATTCTAATTGTTCAAAATGCTTATGGACTGCTTAGACCCAGAAACTTGGGAATCATCCAAGGCTAGCCCCTCATCTGGCACCTGTAGAAACTGGAGCCAAAGAAGGGAAGGGACTTGCCTAAGGTTACAGACTAAGACTGTGACAGAGCCACGGTTATAAAGCGGCGACTGTCCCAATCCAGTGCTCACCTCACTACATCAAGCCTGCTGCACAAATGAATCCAGATGCTTTTTAGATTCAGGGGAACCCAGAACTGTGAACTGGAAAGGGACTTGGAGTTCATCTAGAGCAAATTGCCTCATTTTAGAGAGGTTAAAAATGGAAATTTTTCTTGCAGTCTCTGAATCCTAAAAATGCAACACAGATTAAATTGTTACTTTACACCATATGCACTTGCCTGGTGGGTATGGTTTCCAGGAACATACACAGACTTGAACTGTTTCATGAGACTCCGAGCTCCGGCAATATCCTGGAGCAAAGTGAAGAGCTTGTCCACGGCGGTTTTGGATTGCTGAAATGTCAGGTTAACTGAAGAATCACAGCCTGAAACAACACAGAGGTATTTTCTTGGGTGAACAAATCTTTAAGTTTTAATCGCGGCAGCTTGAACTGGATATAACAGTTGTTTTTGTTTTATTTATTTTTTTTAATCCTCACCTGAGGCTATTTATTCCACTGCTTTTCAGAGAGAGTGAAAGGGAGAGAGAGAGAGAGGGAAAAAAACACCACGTTGGTGTGAGAGAGACACATGGATTGGTTGCCCCTGCACCCACCCTGACAGGGCCAGGGATCGAGCCTGTAGCTGGGGTGCGTGCCCTTGACTGGAACCGAGCCCGAGGCCCTTCAGTGTGAGGGCAGCACTTAAGCACTGAGCCCAATCGGCCTGGGTGGGGTTTGTTTTCCAACCCAATACCTTGTCCCCCTGCGGCAGTTCACTGAGTGGGCTGCTTCAGTCACCCACGAGCAATGAAACATGCTGCGTGTAACTGCCTTGGGCAGAAGCGGAGCTCAGCAGTGCCTGGGTCGCAGCCGCTGCCTTCGATGCCCAGGCTGCGGCTTCCCAGAGAGGAAGCTCCCCAGGGTGCCCGTCCTCAGAGCACAAGCAGGGGACAGAGGAAAGCAGAGTGCTGCGACGCACCCCTCTCACTTGAATTCCACCAACAGGTCCCACGAAACAGAACAGCGAGAAGGAGACGGTACAGAGCTCTCTGTACCAGGGCTCGCTGGATGGGACGGGCATCCTCACGTGCTAAAGCAAAACGTGGCGGATTTCGAAAGGCAGCCGTTCAAAGTCAGTGCGACGCAAAAGGGGGCCTAATAAGAAGACTGCTCTCAGGGACGATTCTATTTCTTTTAGAAACTTTTAATACTTGAATGTATTCTCTATCTTATTAGAAGCTCATTCAGAAGAGGAATGATTGTGGGTAAGTCAGAAGTTAAAAAAGTAGAGAAAGATTCAAGATGGGCATTTTAGACTCTCTTAAATACCACATTAACTCTTAATCCTCACATCACTCATATGAGATGGAGCTATAATTTCCCCCAGTTTAAAGATGAGGGCTGAGTAATGCTCCGGTCAGCAGGTACTGCCGATGCTCTGCCTGCATCTGCTCGGTCACCCTGACGTCACCTGTGGGTTTGGGGAACAGTTCCCATGTACTGACTGTTCTTGTCTCAAGTACCTGATGTCTCTCTCCCTCTGTTTCCCTCTCTTTGGCTTCATGTCTCTCTACCTGTTTGAGGGCTTCTCCAGTTGTGGGAACATGTTTGGCCTTTCTGTGGAGCAGGCTGGGGAGCCAGCACTCATAGGAACAGCCCAGCTTTCTCTTCTCTTGGTAGAACAATTCTGAATTGTGGTGTCTACAGCATTTCCAGGGACCCCAGCAGGACTGAGCCCCAGTTGCCTATAACTGTAAGTCACTCATCAAGGCCTCCCTTTTGGCTTTCCTTCCTCCTGTCTCACTTTCCTGCTTCCTGATTGCCTCCTGGGGTATCTTTCCAAATGCAGTCCTTGCACCCAACCCCTTGTCTCGGGACACCAGAGCTTCCACAGCCATTTGAACACAGGCAGCCTGGATCCAGAGCCTATATTCTTCTTCTTATTATTTTTTTTGGAACAGTTTTACTGTCACAGAGTTCACATATAATGCAATTAACCTGTTTAAAGTTTACAACTCAATAGCTATTAGCATGCTCATATAGTTGTAAAATCATTATTGCTGCAATCATTGTTAGAACAGTTTTATCACCCCAGTATGAAATTCCATACCCATTAATTGTAACTCCCCATTTCCCTGTACCCCTAGTCCCTGCTTTCTCTCTCCATGGATTTACCTATTTTTTTGGACATTTCACATACATGGAAGCATAAAACATGTGATCTTTTGTAACTGGTTTCTTTCACTTAGCATCATGATTTCAGGGTTCATCCGAGATGTAGCATGTATTGGTACTTCATTATTTTTTTATTGCTGACTAATATTCATTGTATGGATATACCACATTTTATATATCCATTCATCATCAGTTGGTGGACATTTGGGTTGTTTACACATTTTGGCTATTACTAATATGCTAGTTTTACAAGTTTTTGTGTAGACATACACTTTCAATTCTATTGGGTGTATATCTAATGGTAGAATTACTGAGTCATATAGAAACTCTGTGTTTAACCTTTGGAGGAACTGCCAGAACATTTTCCAAGGTGTCTGCACAATTTTATATTCCCCCCAGCAGGGTAAGAGAGTTCTAATTTCTCCATATCCTCAACATCCTCAGCTTATTATCTGTCTTCACGTCTGTAGCTATCCAAGTGGGTGTGAACTGAGGAGACCTGGTTGAGTTTGATAAAGAGAGAAATCGTTTTTAGGGAGTAGAGCTAGATCCAAACAAGCTTAAACTAAAAAGGGGTGTTTGTAGAGTACATAGGAAGGAACCCAAAGGCTGCAGATGCAGTAAGGCAGATATGAGTAGCTGAGCCTCTACTCTTAATAACCGTGGAACACTGTATATAATAACTCTTAAAGGGTGGGCATAATTCTGAACTGTTTTTACTCACAACACTTCTGATACCAAATGTATGTTTTTCCCTCACACTAAATGATTCTCTAACTCTCCAGATACCAACTCAGTGCTCTACAATTCAGTTCAATTCTGATGATGACTATGCAGGGTCAGTGTAGACTCCACAGTTCGAGGTTTCAGTCCCACAAGACTGCCCTCTCTGCAGATGCCAGATTCATGTCCCAGGATTCAACTGCACATCTGACCAACCAGCTATCAACTGAGGGTTCCCATGACCCCTTCCTCAGGTTCAAGAATTTGCTAGAACAGCTCACAGTACTCAGGAAAGCGCTTTTCTTACTCCTGTGTGTTTATTACGAAGATTACTCAGGAGCAGCCAAATGAAAGAGATGCACAGGACAAAGTATGGGAACAGGAGTGGGGAGCTTCCATGCCCTCGTTAGCTGCTTCACCTTCCCCGCACTTCATTGTGTTAACCAACCCAGAAGCTCTTCAAACCCTATTGTTTAGTGGTTATTATGGAGGTTGCATTACATAGGCATTATTGATCAAATCAATGGCCACTGGTGATTAGCTCAACCTGTAGACCTTCTCCTCTGGAGGCTGGGGGCTGGGGCTGAAAGTTCCAACTTTCTAAACATGCCTTGGTTTTTCTGGTGACCAGACATTTCCCTATCCTGAAGCTATCTAGGGTTCCCCAATCATCAGTTATCCCATTAGCATACTTGTCACTCTCATCACTCCGGGATTCCAAGGGTTTTAAGAGCTGTGTGGTAGGAACTGGGACAAAGACAAATAGATATATTTCTTATTGTATCATAAAAATCCTCTGAGCTGTCTTTTTTCTCCTGGTTTCCAGAAATGTCCAACTCATCGCCATTAAAAAAATCAAAGTGTGATCAAGCCCAGTGAGAAGAAGCCTCCAGTGTTCAGTGAACTACAGTAGAAGGGGTGGGAGTCAATGAGGGAATTCAGGAAGTTCATGTGAACTCCCCAGAACTCTATGCCAAGCTTTGTGAAAAGAAAAAAAAAAGTGTCATTTCTCAGGAGCATGTCCCAAACTTCCTCCTGGTTCTTACAGAGGTTCATAAGCAAGAAACGTGAGATCTACAGGTACAGAACACCTATCGATATCACACCGAGCTGGCCCTTGGCGTTGGAGCTCTAGCTGAGATTCATCAACTTGTGTTTTAGTCAACAACCAACCAAAAGAAACCTGGGGCCCGGCCGGGTGTGGCTCAGCGGTTGAGTGTCGACCTAGGATCCAGGCGATTGGGGTTCGATTCCCGGTCAGGGCACATGCCCGGGTTGTGGGCTCGATCAATGACTTTCTCATCACTGATGTTTCTATGTCTTTCTCTCCTTCTCCTTTCCTCTCTCTGAAATCAATAAAGATATATTTAAAAAAAAAAAGAAAGAAAGAAACCTGGGAAGGTTATAGCTTCTCACTCTTTCATGTGGCTTCTTTCCTTAAACTCTCAGGTTAAGCCATTTAACATACGGGAAAATTATATCAATTATATCTAAGTGCTGTACATTATGCACTGCTCTTTCAAATAAAAGAGGGTATAAAAACATCACTAGTTCTAATACCATGCATAGTGTTTTAATTCCTCTAAAACACAACTCAACTAATAGGCTATATTTTTAAAATTTAATGTAATTAATTTTCTAGAGAACAGAAATATTGATTCAGTTTTTCCTATGGTTTACTTCAATTTCTTTGGAAGGAAATATGATGTTCATCCATTAGGCTGAGTGGAACAGAGTCATCCACTGAATTACAAGTTACTGGAGATGAGAGTATACATGGAAACTGTGGCTTATACATTGGAATTAAGTGAAGGCTATAATAATTGCAGGGAGTTATGTCACCTGAGGCGCAGGCTGTTTGATAAAAATGTTTATAGATTACTGGCAAGTGAACTCAAAGGAACCCAAGAGAAAAATAAGACTGTCAAAGAAATTGCTGGAAGGAAAAGAAAAAGTCCTAAATTCACTAATAAAGTAAAACTTTCCTGAAAGACAGTCAGTTACTAACTGTATGAGGACAACTCACGCTCAAACATCAACCCTTTCCAGTGAGTCTGGCATCCTTAAAGCAAATGTTCTACAATGAACATGTTTCTGGGAGAGCGGGCCGTTTTCATCAGTCTGTGCATTTTTCATCATTACCTCAATTTTCACCCCAAGCAGAAATGAGATTCATTTAACAAACCCTGCAATGAAAGTTACACACACACACACACACACACACACACACACACACACACTTTAGAAATGTAGACCAGAGAGGACAAATGGCTTGTGCAAGGTCACATCACTATCCCTAGCAAAGTCAGGGTTCAAAATGTCCCTTGATTATAGACACGAGCTCCTCCATGTGTACTGCCTTCTTCATTCAGATACTCCTCTGTGAATGCTGCTCATTCCAAATTCATGCTGCTATCAATAGCTAAGAGAAGAGGTGGGCAGAAAAGCTATGAAATGGAACAAAGTCTTTTCTGTGGAAATAGTGA